AGGGCTGCAGTCACCGTCCCCGCAAGTGTTCACACAGTGTGGAGACAAGGCCTCAGTGCCATGGGTTAGTGGTGGCCTTGGCAGTGCTGGGAATGGTTGGACTGGGTGAGCTTAAAGGGCTTTTCCAGCCCGGTTCATTCTATGATTCTATACTTTTCTATCTTGAACATAATAGAGCTGGAGAAACCCTTTTATCCTCATCTCGGACGCTATTAAGCACAGACTTCTTTCTAGAACAAGATCATGAAACTCTCCAATGATTGTTTTTGCAATTAACAGGTTACAAGGTGTAGTTGAATTACTAGAATGCTTTTCTTGTATTAACCTGTAACAACTTACGAGTTATAACTTGTACTAAGGTTAGTACAAACTGACTTGTTTAGTACAATTGTTGTACCACTAACTTGTTTTGTAGCTTAAAGAGAAAGGAGTATAAGCAGTTGCTTGTCTTTCTGTAGTAGTATTTTAGGTAGTGAGAAACTGTTATGAAGTTAATATCTAGTCATCCTGATTTAGCTGAAACAATTACAGGTGTCTGCTAGAAGCATTTTTCAGTGAATGAGTTGCTGTCTGACCTGAGTTATATCTAACCTGAACTTCCCCTGTTTCAGTTTGAACCCATCACCCCTTGTCCTATCACTACAGTCCCTGATGAAGAGTCCCTCTCCAACATCCTTGTAGCCCCCTTCAGACACTGGAAGCTGCTCTGAGGTCTCCACACAGCTTCTCTTCTCCAGGCTGAACAGCCCCAATGTTCTCAGCCTGTCTCCATACAGGAGGTGCTCCAGCCCCTGAGCATCCTCGTGGCCTCCTCTGGACTTGCTCCAACAGCTCCATGTCCTTCTTACGTTGAGGACACCAGAGCTGCCCACAGTGCTGCAGGTGGGGTCTCGCAAGAGCAGAGCAGGGGCAGGATCACCTCCTTTGGCCTGCTGCTCATGCTGGCATACTGTGAAGTACTAAGCCTTATTTCAGTATTAACACTTTCTGCCATCTGAAGTACCTCACAGAAGAAAGGCCTTGGGGTTATTCTTGTATTTTACTAATCTGAAGACCAAGCCAGCATTACAGATGTGAGGTGTGTGGTGCAGGCAGTAGTTATTCAGAGTTCTGCTTAAGCCTCAGTTTCCTAATGGAAGGTGATCTTCTCTCTTCATAGGTATGTGCCATGGAACTACCACGAACCCCAGCTGGGCGTGTATGATTTTTCTGGTGACAGAGATCTAGAGTATTTCCTGCAGCTTGCTAACGACACTGGTTTGCTGGTTATCCTGAGAGCTGGACCTTACATCTGTGCAGAATGGGACATGGTACAGCCTTCTGTAACAGTTACCTCATTTCATGAGTAAATCTAATGCAAGTACTTCTATCTTAAGTAGGCAAACATACTTGGTATATCCTTGGACAAGACTCTTGGTTTAGCGTATTAAAATCCGTGCATACAAGTGATTTCTTCCAACACAAGCTTACTTTGTGTTTGTATTTTGATTGGGAGCTGTTACTTACTTGTTGAAAATCAATTTTCAGGTGTATGTTTTGATAAAAGGCAAAATTCTTCTTACGTTTCCTAAAAGAAAAAAGAAAAAGCTCACTTATGTGATTCCCTTTCTTTTCCCAGGGAGGTCTTCCTGCGTGGCTGTTGGAAAAGAAATCTATTGTTCTCAGGTCTTCTGATTCAGGTAAAGGCATCAAAAAAGACTAGCAAAAATACACTTTAGCAGCAGGGTGACTTACTGTTTGGGGCTGTTATTAGGCAACTCGTATTTCAGCTTAGGGCATCTTGGAATCAGAAGTGTGTGGTCAGAAGCATATGGAATGAACAAAGTAGGGTAGAAAGTTTCCAAGGTATTGACAGCCTTCATGAAAACTGGTGCCAAGAGAGAAATCACCGTCGCCACTGAGGAAAAGACAGGTTGCCCTCAGCTGTGAGGTTTTTGGTTTTACAACAGCCAACTGGGCTGGTTCTCATGGCCATGGAGGGATTGAGATGAGATAGGAGATTAACAGGGTTGTTAAGAGTGCGTATTAGGGGACAAAGATACGTATCGTATCTGGTTTCAGTTCTGCTCGTGGTGGGGTAAGTTATCTATTTAAAGAGCAGAGTACACATAGCAGCATGCATTTTGCTGTTGAAATGTATTAGGACAACCTGTGTGAGACATACTGAAGTCCCTCTGGTGGTTTTCCAAGTTCATCTATTTTGTAGGAACAGTACTGGGCGTTGCCATGTATGAGAGGTATAAGAGCACATCAGTTCATTAAATGCTGTTCCATTGTACTTTACGTATTTAGAACACTAGGTAAAAACTGCACATATATCATTTAAAACAAAAACTAGGAAAAGAAAAAAGGCAGAAAAGCTGTGAAATCTCTATTTTGTGTATCACAGATTACCTGGCAGCAGTAGAGAAATGGATGGGTGTCCTTTTGCCAAAGATGAGGCCTCACCTCTATCAAAATGGAGGTCCAATCATCATGGTGCAGGTAACTCCGTGAGGATTCAGTGTATCCAAGCAGCATGGGTGCTTATATTGCTCTTGCAGACCCTCCATGGGTGTTGGAGGGTAATGTCACATGTGTTCTTTAACAGTTTCAGGAAGCTCGAAGATTCTGATGAATTTCCTTATCCTAAAGAACTGAATGCACTGTTTCCAGAGCCCAGAGAGGATTTATCTGCTCTATCAAAGTTGTTTCCCACAGCTATAGGAAGCAATAGAGGAACGTTGTGGAGCTTTTTAGATCAGAGTTTTATGCCATAAAGCCAAAATACATTACAATTGCTAGAAATTCTCTGACAGGGAAAAAGGGAATAGGGATAATTTAGGATGCAAGGTTACCTTAGGATAAGAAATACAGATAGAAGCAAAACCAGCATGGAGCAAGGCTAAAACTTGTGACAAAAAGAGCCTCGAAATGTAGGGTGTGTTCATGGTGAGTAGCTTGTCTCTTAAACTCCTTCTAGATGTGCAGTGGTGATTATTCAGTGTTCTTAGTATTTGACCATAACAAAAGCTTTGGTATAGTATTTCTTTAAACATCCTGGTTGGAACAGGATAAGGGTAGGAGACCCTTCTTACAGCATGTCCAAGATGTTGAACAATGTATTATGCATTGTTCTTGAACAATGTATTACATCTGTTGAGCAAAACCACTGGCAATGTTATTCTTTGTCAGAAATAAGATGCTTATGACATGATTTCTAGAAATAACCTTCAGGTGTGTGTAGCATTGGATCTGGAACTTGAAAATCCAGCCCCTTGGGAAAGGGGCAGGATGCATACTTCTCAGTAGTAGCAGGGTTGTCCTTATTCTTCCAGTCCTTTGAATCCATTGCAGGGCATTGCTGTTTATGTGAGCCCCTTGTAGGTGTCTCTGTTCTGAAAGTCCAGTTTTGATCATGTCACAACCTGTTCTATGGTTTGACTGTTGTGCTTGTGCTCTCCATTTTTTAATAGAGACTTCACTGCTGTGAAGTAGCTAGAGTGGAGACTTCTATGTGGAGGGTGATTCTATAGGAAAATGCCTTACCTCCACTGAATGCTTGCTTCATTGTAAGATACAGATGAGAGAGATGAGAACCTAAGTGTTGTCTTCTGTTACTCCTCAGGCATGGAGTTAAAATGATGTTTTCAGCATTGGTGCCAAAGAAGGAAGAGGGTTGGATTTGGGCTTTCCATTGTTGATATATGATGCAGGCTGAAACTGCCTGCTGCTTTACTGACTTGCTTTCACTGTGCAGGTAGAGAATGAGTATGGAAGCTACTTTGCTTGTGACTATGACTACCTGCGTGCCCTTCTGAAGCTCTTTCGCCAGCATCTTGGTGATGAGGTGGTGCTGTTCACAACTGATGGTGCAAGCCAATTCCACTTGAGATGTGGAGCTCTTCAGGGTCTTTATGCAACAGTGGACTTTGCCCCAGGTTGGAGACTGCTGTTTGTTACTGAAAATCGTTGCATGTGTGTTTGTGGCAGGACAGAGTGACCTGACTGCTTGACAAACCTGCCTGCTTTGTTTAAAGGGGGTAATAGGCATTTAGGTGTATTTGATATACTCTTAAATGTACAAGAATCACCCACAAGTACCCAGTTAGAGAGTCATAATCACTTCCTTGCATCATGAAACCATGAATAAGGAAATGACACTTCTCATAGCATGTATCTCCTAAATCTTAGCACTAAAAGCTGGCATAGGTTCCATTGATTTTTTTTTTAATGTGCTCTGTCTGTCCCAGAATCCAGCCCTCCTTGTCTGTTTCTTTTTAAGCCAGTGGTTACTGTAAAACAAAATGACTGCTGAATATCACTGGAAATGTGCACACTGCCACAGTAGGCTGTGATACAGGCCTGAAGCTGTTCAGAGAGTGCCCTTCTGATGGAAGAGGAGTGTTAATGTAATGATGAAAATGTTCATATGCTGCATGTACTTGGCAAAATGGGCTTAAGGCACAGGAAACAAACTCCAGGATAGATCTTTCTGTGTTTTCTTATATCTGGCCTCTTTTGTACATTATTCTCAAAGATGTTTCCTTAGAAGGAAACTGTTTTCTTAGAAGTAGATTGAACCTGGGAACTCCTTCATGCAGATCCTTTATGAGATGGAAAGCTCCTATTGGAATTATTATTTCCAGGCTGTGTAGCTAGAGCCACTGGGATTGATGAAGAGTGAAGCTCCTCTTTAGAGACTGCCTGGCTTCTGTTCTTCACCACAGTCTTGGTACCGCAACCCCAGACCTCAGCTTTCCAGTGACCAAGTAGTCCTTTTGCACATATCTTTTTTTTTGGTGCTAAGTTGTCATTCCTGGGAAAAGCTGGGGTTTCAGAAGATGTATGTATATATTTTAAATAAGTTCTACAACTTAAACACTGTAATCAAAGGTGTTGATTCCTCTGTTTTCTGAAGTAACTTTCTTGTCTAGATTTTCTTAAAATCCCAGACTGGTTTGGGTTGGAAAGGACCTTAAGATCATCCAGTTCCAACCCCCTGCTACGGGCAGTGACACCTCACACCAGACCAGGTTGCTCCAAGCCCCTGTGTCCAACCTGACCTTGAACACTGCCAGGCATGAGGCAGCCACAGCTTCTCTGGGCACCCTGTGCCAGCGCCTCAGCACCCTCACAGGGAAGAACTTCTTCCTTATATCCAACCTGAACTTCCCCTGTTTCAGCTTGAACCCATCACCCCTTGTCCTGTCACTACAGTCCCTGATGAAGAGTCCCTCTCCAGCACCCTTGTAGCCCCACTCAGATACTGGAAGCTGCTCTGAGGTCTCCACACAGCTTCTCTTCTCCAGGCTGAACAGCCCCAATGTTCTCAGCCTGTCTCCATACAGGAGGTGCTCCAGCCCCTGAGCATCCTCATGGCCTCCTCTGGACTTGCTCCAACAGCTCTGTGTCCTTCTGATCCTGAGGACACCAGAGCTGCACACAGTGCTGCAAGTGGGGTCTCAGGAGAGCAGAGCAGAGGGGCAGGATCACCTCCCTTGACCTGCTGCTGTCCCTGCTTTTGATGCAGCCCAGCACACGGGGGGTTTCTGGGCTCAAGCGCACACTGAAGCCGGCTCATGTTCAGTCTCTCATTGACCAACACCCCCAAGTCCTTTTCCGCAGGGCTGCTCTGAATCTCTTCTCTGCCCAACCTGTAGCTGTGCCTGGGATTGCCCCGACCCAGGGGCAGGACCTTGCACTTGGCTTGGTTGAACTTCGTGAGGGTGGCATTTGGCCACCTCTCAAGTGTTTCATGGTCCCTCTGGATCCCATCTCTTCCTTCCAGCGTATCGACAGAACCACACAGCTTGGTGTCATCGCCACACTCGCTGAGGGTGCATCAACCCCACTGTCCACGTTGCTGACAAACATGTTGAATGGGATCAGTCCCAACACTCTCCCCTGAGGGGAGATAAGACATCTATTTCAGTAAAATGAAGGACCAAAAAAGCCGTGGATGTAGCAACTCAGTTCTATTTCTATTTGCTTATAGGTGGCAATGTCACAGCAGCATTCTTGGCTCAAAGGAGCAGTGAACCTACAGGCCCTTTGGTATGTCCTTTCACTTAAATCTCTTGTATTGTTCTTAATGGTGCACTTAATAGGAGAGGAGTTGACAACTGTGTGTTGGACAGTGAGGGATATGTTTACAAAGATGTAATTTCCAAGTCAGAGAAACTGAATAGAGGAGCTTCTGTGTGTGTTTGAAATCCACGTTAACTGCTGCTCTGCAAATACTATTGCAGTCAAAGGTAATGATTTTGCCTTGGCGCTTTCCTTGCAAAGACAAATGTTTACAAAGCAGTGGAAACAGTGAGGATGGAGAGATGGGTTAGTGAGGTATGTGTGTAGGTGGAAGCTAAAAGCAAGCTTAAAAGGGTAGATTAGAAGTTGCTTCCTGTTTTCAGCTACCTTAGAGGTTTTACACGAGCTATAATGGGGTTTGAGATCACTGGAAGCCTTTTCGACAAGGGGAGAAAGCCCACTGAGCATGCAAGATTATCTCTGTGCTGTGAAGTTGTTTAGAATGCCATTTGATATTGGAAGGATCTATTTTAATTTAGTCTACTTGTGCTGCCCTGCAGATAACGTGTTACTTCCATCATTTATTTGAATGTCAAGCCTCTGCAGCGTGTTCATGTTGACAGGTTCATAGGAAGCTCATGCTCTTTGGTACTTCCACATTTATTTTCAAAGTGTTCCTATAAAATGATTGGAACAATTGTTTAATTTATTTGCCCAGTAATCTGCTGAAAAGGCCTGACTTAGTGTGTACTTTGCTGTATTTATAGTAGCTCAAAAATAGCTCTAATGAGTCAAGGTGCCCTTTTTCCTTCCCTCTTACAGTTAGTAACCTGAAATCACATTGCATTCTGTTCTTGTTCCCTCTTCATATTTTCCCTTCCTCTTTTGCCCTTCCTCCTTTCAGGTTAATTCTGAGTTTTATACTGGATGGTTGGATCACTGGGGGCACCGGCATTCTGTTGTGCCCGCACAAACTATAGCTAAAACACTTAATGAAATCCTGGCACGTGGTGCTAACGTTAACCTGTAAGTGTGTGCTTAGTAGAGGTTAATTTGGGGGGAGCATTTTTTTCCCCAATTCAGCAAAACCTGATTTAAGTGGATGGCTTTTTTCCCCTTTTTAGGTACATGTTTATAGGTGGGACCAACTTTGCCTATTGGAATGGTAAGAGATGATTTAAGTGATGCTCATGATGTAGGGGAGATCTTTATGAATTAGGTACTCTGTGAAAGAGTAAGCTCTGCTTGCTTTCACGTGACAAAGCATGACTGTGTTAGCTGTTCTCTGTCTGTTGACAGCGTGTTGTCCTAAACCCACATGGTTTTGGAGGCTTGCAAAGGCTACTTCTGCCTCAGTCCTCTGAAGCAGTTGAAACATGGATAAACTTGTTTCTCTTCAGAGTATTTCTGAAGACTTTATGATAGAGCAGTGTGAGCTCAGAAGAATGTTGTCCTCCATCAAGAACTTTCTCTGTGCTAAATACCACTGTTTGTAATTGCCTTTTTTCCCCCCTTCAGGTGCTAATATGCCCTATATGCCACAGCCCACTAGCTATGACTATGATGCTCCACTGAGTGAAGCAGGGGATCTGACAGAGAAGTATTTTGCCTTGAGGGAAGTCATTGGCATGGTGAGTGTCCCCAGGACATGTTCCCTTGAAACATCACTGGTGTACTGCAAACACTCTCATTTTTGTGTTGGTATGGGTTACTTCTGAGTTTACTGCTTCCTGCAGGGAAGGGAAGTATAACAAGGCAATTAGGCCAGCCTAACTGCTCCTTGTTACAAAAGGGGAAAGATCTTGCACCTCTCTGGCTATCCTTTCTGTCCTGATGGGGAGTGAACAGAGCTTTTCCTCTTGCAGCATCTATCAGCCGTTGGGTTAGCTCCGGCTCATCACTGCAGCTTAGTGCTTTGGCTGACTGTACCCAAACCTGCATGGTGTGGTTTGGAGTCTCTCAGAAGGAGTGTGCTTGTCCAAATGAACACTTACTTGGGTTTTGTCATGCCACAAACTGTAACTAGTGCTTGGGAGCAGCCTTGCCTTGCTGTAAAAGTGCACGGTATCTTTACAAACTGGAGACTGAAGTGAAGCATGGAACCTGCATCTGGATTTTGAATATCTTTGCATTGGAGGGTTCAGATGAGGCTTAAAAACAGATTCCATGGGAATACCAAGGCTCAAGCTTGTACTCGCTGTCCTGTTGCATGCTAGCAACATCCCTAGTGACTAAAAGACATATTTCTGATGGGAGCAGGTCTCCCAAAGGTGTACTACACTTTCTCTAGGATTGAGCATGCCTTTGTCTCTGTACCTGTAGAAGGCCTGCTTATCCCTAAGCTTTCCATTGAGGGCATCATTTTAATAGCCTTTCAAGGGGAGCCTCCTGTCTTGGTACAGCTTTTCTCACCAGAGAAATTCCCAAGCTTCCCGTTTTTGAGTTGTTTTCTTCGAGGCAAGATCCTTATCTGAAATGCAAGTAGTGTTCTAGTGCAGTGAGAGCCTTCATGAGATCTGAAGTGTTCAGTATAAGCTAAGGCGTGTTGGTGTTGTGGTCTCTCTCTTACCTTCCATATCATCTCAGTAAAGTTTTCCTGTATCTGTGGGTTCTAAATTCCTGTATCTGTGGGTTCTAAACCCATAACAGTCCATCTACTCTGTTGCAGTTTGAAGTGGAGCTGATGGAAGAAAATTAAGTTGCCTGCCACTAATGACTGTGTTCCACATGTTGGTTGTGTAGAAGGGTAGCCTGTTACAATCTTCCTTTACTGTTCCCTTCAGTTACTAAATATAATAAAGAATAAAGGTTTCAGTGTACAGCTTCTTTCAATTGCTGACAGCATTCTCTAATTTTTACTGCTTGGGCTGAGATTTCCTACTTTTGACATCTTCTCTTGGCTGAATTACAGTTTTTCTTTTCTTTAAGCCTAAATGACCATGGCAGGGGTTTGGAACTGGATGATCCTATGGTCCATTCCAACCCAAACCAGTCTGTATTCTGTATCTTGATTATTTTCAAATACAGAAAGAAAGAAATGGACTTGTTACCAGAAATAGAAATCAGGTTTTCCTCTGTTCGTTGATAGGAAGGCTAATGATTCCCATATTGAAGTGCTGCTAAGGAAGGCTCAGCTTCAGACTTAGAAAGGTTCACTCAAGCTCCTGTGGACTGAGAAGAGGACTGCAAGAGGGTTTTAGAAGCCAGTAGTGCAGGCTCTAGCCACGGGAGGGCTCCAAGGGCATTGATTGTTTGGAAGTTCAGTCTTACACTAGATGCAGCTGTAATCCTTTAGCACAGTGAGATTATCTCCTTAAAGTGGATAGTGGAAAGTGAGACTTCCATTAAAGCATGCTTTAATCTGTTTCATGTGTTTGTTTTTTTTTCCTCCTTCCCTTTCTAGTATAACCAGCTACCAGAAGGTCTTATCCCTCCAACAACACCCAAATTTGCATATGGGAAGGTTCGCTTGCAGAAGGTAAATTGTACCTGTGATATGCTGTGTGTTACCTGCATAGAAAAGATAATTCTTACATTATGCAGTTTGTACCTAAGTTTTACTAAACTGAGATCAATATGTTATTAAGACAACAGAATCATAGCTGTCCAGGATCACTCATGTCTGATTAACGTAGCTGGGGGAATGCTGGCATCAGAGCTATGAGCAAGGAGTGTTTCTGTAGCTGGTGATGCCTCTGAAGTAGCAGCAGCAGGTAGGATATACTTGTCTTTGAATTATTTCTAGGTGCTTAAAGTTTGAATGTGGAACACTTCAATGCATTTGAAAGTCTGCTGGACTTGTGAAAATCTGTAGCTGGTGAGAGGAATCAGTTTCCTGCCGACAGAAGGGCATACAGATATGTTAAACCCTGTCTGACACAGTAGTATATAGCTGCTCAGCACCTGAGTAGCTGGGATTTGCCCACAGCACCATCATTTTGCAAGCTGGGGCAATTCTCTGTGAAAGATGGTTGAGAACTGTGTTCCTGCACTGAGTATAGAGGATGGTTTGAGGGGGGGATGGAGGAGACCACAGGTATGAATTTGTCTGTATTCATTCTGCTGGGCACAGACAAGTTGCTTTGGTTACTGTACTGGATGCTGTAGTTCAGAATGCATTGGTTTTGTAATTTGAATTTGGAGGTCACCTTTCCCCTCAGTGATGTATCTGCTCTGTTGTGGAAAATTGGTAATGCAGAGGCTTTGCAGGTGCTTTCAAGTCATCCCACTCAAGCTGTGGGCAGAAACACCTCCTGTATCAAAGTGATAGCACCAGATCTTCATCATTTTCACCAGCCTTCGAGTATCCTCGGTCGTTTTAGGTTGGAGACTGCCATATGAGGTTTCACTGAACAGGCTGATGCTTGGTAGTGACTAATTTTATACCACTGCCAGTACACCCACCACTTCTGCTGCTATCAAAGCTCATCACTAAGCACAGCAATCAGATTTTGCCTCTTCCATCTTCTTATGGTTCATGGCTATCAGATAAGGCTGTTCAGTTTCAGTAGAATGATGAGCTTTCATGCCTTCAAGAAATGAATGCTGCAGAAAGCCCAGACCTCTGTCTTACAGAGGATGAGTCAAATTACTCAAATATCACAGTTTTGACCTAGCCATCACACTGGGAGCCCTGTTCCTGCACCTTCTCAGCTTCTATAATCCCTGCTTTCTGAGGGGAGGCATTTTACTCTCCGCCTAGTAGTTGTAGCAGTCCAGATGGCATGTCTGACCTGCCAGGTGTGAGGTTCCTATTGCTGCCTGTACATATGCTGCCATCTGCACTGAAAACCTCTAGAGCAGTTTTCTGGGAGGAAGGCTGCTTCCGTTCTGTGAAACCACTGCTTCGTTTCAGCAGCACTTTGTTCCTCTGCTTCATTAACCTGCAACGCAGGAGGAGTCTTAAATTACAGAGTGTTTATACCATCCCAGCCAAAGCCTTCCTCCCAGCTTCATGATG